GATTTGAAGTTTATTTTTGTGACATTTGCGCCAAAAATGATAGAAATGTTATTAAAGTGAAGAGAATTGGAGTCAGAATTGGTTGAGAGAAGCAAACGAAGCAAATGTTAGAAATTAGATATAATTTTAGGGCTTCTTATCTATGGTTCCCTTTTTGCTGACCACTCGTATATCAAAGCCATCGCAATATACACTATTATATACATTATACTCGTATACATGTAATCAATGGTGGCTAGTGTGACCAACTCGAAATTTAAAATTCCTGGATTTTTATGTATATATTTCATAAAATTCCTGGACAATCCTGGACATAAATTTTAACGCCATATTTGGCATATAAAATTTTATGTCTATCCAAAATTAACAATACAAATATAAATAAAACTATTTTACTACCTCATTAAATAGATTTAATTAAAATCTAACCATAAAAAATTATTTAGCTAATAAAATAAAATAAAATATATAAAATAAAGAATAACATTTGAATTTTAAAAATTAGAAATGATATACTTTACCCATACTGTGCAATAAATTATACACTAGTATAATTCTTTAATTCTTAATTTAATTCTTATTTGAAAATATCAGAATATTTTACTTTTGAGAGGAAATTACACCTTATCTCAGGATGAAAATGGGTCGTGCACTCAGTATATAGTCTAATAATAACACAAAAACTAATAATAATTTGGGGAACAGTAGCCAAAAGTGAAGGATATGGCATTGGGGGTCACTATTATTTGTAATAACACCTATTTTATTAAAAAGTGTAGAAATCAATGGCCACTCATTAATAAAGTTAACTAACTAGGTTATTCCTCCACCCACCATAGATTTGTGAACGCCCCATTTTCATGCGGTGATAAAATGTAATTCCCCCTAAATGGATTAAACCCATACACGCTTTAAATAAACCAATTAGTTATTAATAAACATAAAATAATAACAATTAATAGACAACTAATTTTTCTAGTAAATAACTCACAAATTTTAATATTAATAAAATAATATTGTAATAGGAAAAACTAATTAATAGACATTGTATATAACTTTAGTATAATAATAAGTTGTATGTCTGATCCTACAATATATTATATTTTTAATCAAAATGTAAATTAAACCAAAAAAATAAAACAAGATATTAATATTAACTTAAAATTATATTTAATTATTATCATTAATCTATTAAATTCTTCTAAAAATATGTACATTTTTTATGCTAACATTTTTTTCGTACTATTCCTGGACATTACATTGTCCAGGTGAGACCTTGCCCTGGACACTGGACAGATACCCTAATTCCTGGACAGTCCAGGTCAAACCTGGACGGTTGGTCACAGTACGTACATGCTCTAATACTAGTAATATTATATCCAATTTCAATATTTAAACTTTGAGCGTAATTTAATATAAATGTTTAATATTTTGATATGAATTTAATTATTAGTCATATAAAAGCAGAGTATGAGTTAAAATTTTGACTACTGTTCCTAATAAAATTGATTAAATTATAATTATATTGTACCTGTAAACTTCGTATTCATCAATTGTGGGCCATTTTGAATTGGTATTAATCTTGGGAAGTTTATTACAATTTTTAATATATTCACGAAATTGATTTTTTAAACATGTCACTTGCTTAATAGTCATAGAATTGTCAAATAATTCCATGGATTTATTAAACATTTTAGCCAGAATTGTGTCACCTGGCGCAAATCCAGTAATCGTGATATTCATCCATTCACTACCAAAAATATTTATTAGTCACTTTATAATATATTGTATATTACTTACTTAATTGCGGTTTCGGGTTCAGCCAGGACATCAAGCTCATCATCGATCATGCCAATAACAATGTTGTAGAAGCTTATTGCTAGAAATATACCAGGGCCACGAATAGTGGGAAAGATTAATCTCACATATGATTCCATATCAGTTGTGTCTATGAAAGGTTTTCCCGAGATTGATGTTACAATGTCCTCGATCACTTTTCCTTGATCTGGTACGTACGGATTATATTCCACTTTTTCCACAAGATTCCGGATTTCATATTTAATAGCTTGCTCGTTTAAAATGGTTAATTTATTTTTTACAGAATTGGTCGCCATTTGCCAATAGGTACTAGATAAAATGATCAAATATATATTATTAAACATAATTCAACGTTAAAATCAATCACATGTTTAATTATTTAAATTTTAAAATAAATGAAATTTTTATATAAATATTTATGAACTAATTGTAAATAAAATATTTTTAGTTTTTATTTATCGATATTAAATATTGTAATTATATAATATCGGATGTCCCAGCGTATTAGCACTACTTTAAATTAAAATTAAAAATATTTACAATTATATTATTCTAACATGAACTACACCAAAATGTTGGAAACTTATTAATATTTTTTGTGCAATATATAAAATTAATTAACTTTAGTATCAAGAAAATTTATATAAGATTGATTTTAGTATAGATAAGAGTTTGATGAGTTTTTATTAAGAGGCATATAGTGAATCAAAACTATAAATGTGAAAAACAAATTATATTCATTTAATTGGTTTATTCAATCTTTTTTGCAAATAAATACAAAATAATATTTTTGGCAATGATTCAGTTATGATACACAATATGCCATTTAATTATAACTCAATAAACTCTTATCTATTCTAAAATGATTCTTAACTCATACGATAATTTTGTATTTCTAGAAATGTATTTTTCGTATAAACTGAATATTAAAACTAATTGTAAAAAAATATTTTTACTTTTTATTTATAATTATTAAGTATAATAATCAAAATAATAAATTATAAAATAAACAAACTTACTTATCGAGCCAATTTATATAACTTTAAATGTTTAGTAATATTTCAAAAAAAAAATCTTGTATTAAATATATCATATATCAATGTAGACTAGTTTCATATTTTAAAGTTATCTCATTTTAAGCTTATATAACATACAAATTCAATGAACCTTTAACAAAAATTAAAATCCAATAATAGGGTACAAACGAATTTCTTTGAAAACCAATTTTTGTGGAAAAGGATACGAAATAATGTTTGATTTGATTTGATTTAGGATATCCTTGGTGGTACTGTCATTATGGAAGTTTAATAAACCTTAATTGCATCCATAAGCTTATTATATAAGCAATTTTACATGTAATTTCTTTTAATTACAGGTCAATGACTCCTTTGGTACAAAAAATTATAAAATTATTAAAATGATTCATTGGAAATACACTTTCATTATAACAGTATTATAAGACAGTACTTCTGTATGCTATACATATTCTATTTGAATTCATTATGTAAATCTTTTAAATTAAACTTTTATTTTAGCGTTTCAAAAAGGTTTAATAAATTCATCTAGTTAATAGATAAATGGAATAATTATATACAGTAATGTTAAAATATATTTATTTTGTATATATAATATTTTGCACATGGATTGCAATCAATACATCCTTTTATAGACTTTTGCTAAAATGAATTCAAATATTTCATCACTTATTTCGTTGGCATTCTTGAGGTTCTGGAGATCACCGCAGATCTCCTCATAGATAGTGAGCTCCTCTTTGAGGTATAGGTCCTTAAGATTCAGTTGTCGATAGATTTCTTTGCATTTATTCACGTTTTGCTCGCATTTGATGCCATAGTTGGCCACCAAATGGCGCCGTTGGCTCTCATCGCACAGTTCCAGTGCCCGCACGACAGGCCAACAGCACTTGCCGTCCACGATGTCTGAACCCTGTTTGCCGGTCACTATGGGGTCACCGAAACAGTCTATAAAGTCATCCTGCATTTGAAACAAGTATCCGATTTTTATTAGGAGTTCCTCTGCCTCCCGGTGCGACGACTTGGACTTCATTCCGAACAAATACATGGCTTTATGTTAAGGGGAAATGGATTATAGTTAGGGTAGATGTGTGACATGTTTTATACCTAATCGGACGGGCAGTACAAACGTATAGTAAGAGGTCTTATACCTAACGATTGTCTCGTATCGGCTTTTCGTGAATAAGTCAAATCGTGGGCCAGTGTTGTTGGGATTGGAGGCCATATCCATATGCTGTCCATACGTGGTATACCTCATCATCTCATGGAATGTCTCCATAATATTCGGATACGACTTCTTGTGTCCGAAGAATAGCTTTAATGTATGGAAGCACTCATTCTTCAGGATCTCGCCATCGTTTAGCGCATGGAGGCCTACATCATCCTAATGGGCACAGGAATGTCACTCTAGAACTATATATAACTTTATAATATACAGTAACTGTACCTGCTTATACCAGCATGGTCGACCCCGTCTGGTGCTGGACTGATCCATGATGTCATCATAAATGAGTGAAAATGCATGCATTATCTCAACACTTGCCCCAAGAATTTGTGCCAATTCTATGTCCTCTTTGGTGGTCTCAATGCCCTTGTGTTTGGCTAACAGTATGTATGTCTTCATCACAAACAGGGCTCGGATACCCTTCCCGTGTCCGACATTATAATTGACGATCTTCTCGAGTCTGTCCCTCACGTCCAGTAAACCCTTGTTTGACGTGTCGATTGAGATTTTGTCGAGAATTACACGATATGTTGACTCCAATGACTCCAACACTTTGTTTTCCATTCAAACCATATATTAATATTATGAATTATTAGTAAAAATTATAAATTAATTTAACAAAGGTAGCTTATATTAATTTTGGGTAAATTTTTTTAAAATCCAATAATACATTACAAACGACTTTCTTTGAAAACCAACTTATGCTGAAAGGGATTCCAAATAATGTTTGATTTGACTTGATTTAGGATATCCTGGGTGGTACTGTAATTATGGAAGTTTAATAAACTTTTATTCGCAACCTTGAACTTATTATATAAGCATTTTTAAATTTTATTTTAATTACAGACTAATGATTCCTTTCGTACAAAAAAATTGTAACTTTTTAAAAAAGATTCATTAGAAATACACTTTCATTATACAGTAGTAATTACTTTCATTACTAGTAGCAGCAAAAACATGAAAGGCATGCGGGCCACGACCTCAGGCCCTCCTTGGGCTACATTTAAANTTGTAACTTTTTAAAAAAGATTCATTAGAAATACACTTTCATTATACAGTAGTAATTACTTTCATTACTAGTAGCAGCAAAAACATGAAAGGCATGCGGGCCACGACCTCAGGCCCTCCTTGGGCTACATTTAAATATAATATATTATAATTAATATATAGATAATTGTCTGTTTTTATGAATAGCTCACCGGACAATAAACCATATGACAACTCCACAACTCATATATTTATATAAATTATTATTTAAATAAACAAGCGTAAATATACTAATATTAGTAATTACTGTACTGTCAAGTATATATTATATGTAAATTTAGCCCAAGGAGGGCCTGAGGTCGTGGCCCGCATGCCTTTCATGTTTTTGCTGCATAATAATTTAACGTAAATACATCTATAAACAAAAACTGAAATCATTTATTAATTATCTAAAATATTTTATTAAATATTATAAAATATTATAAAATATTAATATAATATTGAATTGAATTGATTGTTGTTTAGACACGTAATGCATGCAACATAAGCTGATTTCCAATACAGACGTGTTATAAATAAATAATATATTAGAAAAAGCTAATATATTAAACTAATAATACTGTAGTATTTTGATATAAGGAAAGTGGATTTCCAAAGAATTAATGATTTTTTATTTTCCTTTGTAAGAAACAAGTCATTAGTCTGTAATTGTTTGAAAATGTATAATAAGTACGCGAATAAGGGTTCAATAATCACTAAGATAATGATCTGCTATTATCGGGATATCCTAAAAATTATTGGTTTCTAAAAAATTACCGGGTAAATTTTGATGTGTAAATTGAAATACTTTGAAAATATTTAATTAGTTTATATTAATATATTGGTATGTGAATATTATATATATATATATATATATATTTAATACAAGATTTTTATTTTTTTAAATATTATTTAAAGATTAAAGTTATATAAATTGCCTCGATTTACAAGTTTGTTTATTTAATAATTATTATATAATTACAATATTTAATAATGATAAATACAAACTAATAATATTTTATTTATTATTAGTTATTAAATATTTATATAAAAATTTCTTTTATATTAAAATTTTAATCTTGATTTTAACATTGATTTATGCTTGATAATATATATATATATATTGATCTAATATTTATTTATAGATGGCAAACAAATCCGCGAAATATAAATTGACCATTTTAGACGAGCAAGCTATTAAATATGAAATCCGGAATCTTATTGTGGAAAAGGTGGGGTATAATACGTACGTACCAGATCAAGGGAAAGAGACCGAGGACATTGTAACGGCTATAACCGGAAAACCTTTCACAGACGCAACTGATATGTCCTCATCTGTGAGATTACTCTTTCCCATGATTCATGACCCTGGTCTATTGCTAACAATGAGCTTCTACGCCATTTTTGTTGGCATGCTCGATGATGAGCTTGATGTCCTGGCTGAACCCGAAACCACGTTAAAGTAAGTAATATACAATATATTATAACGTGACTAATAGCTATTTTTGGTAGTGAATGGATGAATATCTCGATTACTGGATTTGCGCCAGGTGACACATTTCTGGCTAAAATGTTTAATAAATCCATGGAATTATTTGACAATTCTATGACTATTAAGCAAGTAACACGCTTAAAAAATCAATTTCGTGACTATATCGAAAATTATAACAAACTTCCCAACATTAATGCCAATTCAAAATGGCCCACAATTGATGAATACGAAGCTTACAGGTACAATATAATTATAATTTTATCAATTTTATTAAACACATTAGTCAAAATATTAACTCATACTGTGCTTTTATATGACTAAATTAATATCAAAATATTAAACATTTATAAACATTATTAAATTACGGTCAAAGTTTAGAGTTTAAATATTGAAATGGGATATATTATACTAGTATTAGAGCATTAGCGCTCAAAAAGTGATATAGATTGTCATTTACTACTGATAAAACATATAAAAATGACACCTCATGTTACTCAATGTAAATAAATGTATTATAGGCAGTGTGACCAACCGTCCTCTATTGGAGAGGACAGTCCTCTATTTAGGGTGTCTGTCCTCTGTGCTTTAAATGAGAAATAGTGGACATTGAATGTCCTTTATTTGT